TGACAAAACAAATTTCCCACGTGTGGGACTAATAAAGGTTATCTTATCTTATCTTATCTTATCTTATCTTATCTTCCCATAGTAGAGTGCTAAGTTTATAAGCTAGCACTGCTACACACTGCACACTGGCACAAAACCTTGTGTGGCCTTCTTGCTGTTGTAGATCCATGACTGCTGAATGCACATTCACAACTTGATATTTCAGAACCGACTGGATTGTCAGATGCTACCAAGCTGTAAGCAAAAGACAGCTAATCAATACCCTGAGCTACTTTCACTTGATCTGTCATTCAATAAGACAATATGTCAGCTTTCTCAAATAGGCCATGTCTCACAGTAGAATCAAACTCTTTCAGACTTCACACTGTGCTTTCCCCAGTAGCAGATGTGGTGACAGCAAAGAGATGATGAACGATACAAGGACAAAAGCTGACAGATGTGATAAATACAACGTCGAATGGCTAATCAATCTCACGCGGGGAGAAGGAAACGAAGGAAAAACAGCAGCAGGGATCTCCTGGTGTGAGTCAGCAGAGGCAAAAGAGTTTGATTGGCAGTGTGTAAACGCATGTGTTTGTGGGTTGTTGGGGTTTTTTTTGCAGACTGCATGTCCGTGTGTGAGAGTGTGGGTGAAGCTTTTTCTCATGCCTGACCCTGTCTTTATGAACCAAACAGGAAGTTTGGGCACCCACACTGTTTCAAAAAATACGTGGGTTTTTTAGTGCCTGGTAACAAACACTGGCATCGGCCCAAACGTAGTGAAAAATGGCACAATGCAAAAACAAGTTTGAAAGGAAGTGACAAATGACTGGCTTAAGGAATAATGAACCTTCACCGTGGTGCAGTCGGATGAAGAGGAGTGAGTGAGCAACTATTTGTTTGTCTTCACTTTCTTCGGACAGCTGACACGTCCTTCTCTTCTGCCTTTTTCTTTCACACCTTCTCATCAGAAGGCCATTACCATGCCCTAGATGATGTGGAAGTTTGTGTGTAGGTGTGTGTACACGACCTACGTGTGTGTGACCGTCCAAGTCTACGTGACCTACTTAGATCAAGAATGGATCTCGGGACGTTGTAGTAACTCACAGAAATCACTGAGTGAAAAACATGAACAATCCATTATCTTAGCCTGCTTTCAGCATTTTTAACAGCTATCTTTGGCTTCTTCACATTTCCTCTGTTCAGCTCCATGCAGAGCTTTGGATGTTTACAGTTGAGTTGATATACACTTGTCATAGGCATGAATGTTATGGTAATTTGGGGGCTTTTAATGATTTCTTTGAAGACTTTTTTTAAGGATTTTTTTCTAATCCACACAGTCAAAATTATACATACAGCTTCACTACACTGTACACCAGTGGTCGCCAACCTTTTTTGCACCTCGGACCGGTTTATGTCCGACAATATTTTCACGGACCTTTAAGGTGTCATGGAGACCGGCCCACCAGGTATTATAGGAAAAGCCATAAAGCCTTTAAATGAAAACAAACGCTGTTGTGACAGTGATGTACACTATCTTGTTGATGTAAAATGTATGATTTCTATACATTTTACATCTGATGACCACTTTGGTTGTAAGATTCAGATAATTATTTATTAAAAGCTAGACATTTTAAATGAGAATAAGAAAGAAAAGTATTTCTTTGTGCCCCCCTTTCCCTGTTAATGCCCTACCTGGCCCCCTGGCATAACTTTACTAGACCCGCCCCTGCACCCACCAGCTGTCAGCTACTTAGAAAAGGATCCTGGTGTTATTTGTCTCTCAGAAACAGGTCATAACTTCCCTTCAACTCATTCACGTCACCTAAAAGGTAAACCTGTTTCTCCATCACCTGTTCAGCTCTGATGATTCAGTAAGGACATTTCCTGGTTTCATCTTCATGTTTCCCTTTCACCACATATCCAAACCGACATCATGACCAGCAGCTTTACAGCTGTGGCTCCAACAAACATCAGCTGATGCTAGAAATTAATATTAAGCTTGTAGCTTCCCATTGCCAGTGTGTGAATGTGTGTGTGAATGGGTGAATGACTGAATGTAGTGTAAAGTGCTTTGGGGTCCTTAGGGACTAAGTAAAGCGCTATAGAAATGCAGGCCATTTACCATTTACCATTTAAATAAATTCTAACAACAGCTTACTAAGCTTAAATGTGCTGCTGTTTTTTAGCGCAACATCAGGTGGTTTCGTCTTTCTGGCGCAAAGTGAACGATAAACAAAAGAGAAAAGCTGATCAGCCGATCATTGATCAGTTTCATGATTGAAGTAGCAACAAGAGAGGGAGGGGGAGGGAATGAGAGAAGAAGAGGCAGCTGACAGCGTAAAGACACAGAATAGCTCTTTCAGAGCTATTGCCCAAGCAAGGGGGCGGGGTCTCCATCCAACCTCCTCTGCCGTAATTGGTCAAGCCCAGAGTTGATCATGACACATTAGCCAATCCCCACCTTTCATTGTTTATACCATTACAAAAAACAAACAAAAAAACATCCGCCCATAAAATTGAAAACTCACCATCAGCCCACCGGGCAAATGGCCAGTCCAGCTATGCCGGTGCCGAACAACTCACGGACCGATACGTGGCCCAGAGGTTGGTTGCTGCTGCTGTACAAAGAATATATATATACAACCCAAATAATATTTGGTTAAATGTACCCTAAAACATTGCACCGTGACTAGACCCTTTGGCAGTCATCTAATTACATAACATAATTTTGACTGGATAGTTGACGACCCTTCTTCAGAATTGGTACAGTCCATTTGAATTGGTTGGTTTCCTTGTACAGACCCACATTTTAAGCAGAATCCACAAACTTTCAGTAGAGTTGAGTTTGGGGCTTTGGGAAGACCAAGCTTAATGTTAGCCTGCTTTCTTTTTTATCTTTTAAGCATCGATTTGTGTAAACTTGTGTGAACTTGTGTAAATCTTCAGTTCTTCTTCTTAGATCATCACTGAGTCCCCTGAACTTTTCCATTGTTCTGACTATTTGTTAATCGGCAAAGAAAAATTAACAGTTGTAGTTAATCATGATCACTAACGAGAAGTTAATAGGTCTTGGCCTTGTCAAGTTAAAAGACATTGGAGAACAGCGCCACTTATTAAAATATTTAAATGAGTGTATGTCTATATTTGAGGCTGTATGCATAATTTTGACCCTGCATGGATTAGAAATATCCCATGAGCATCAAATCTGAAATGCACCAAGTGTTTGTTTTGACAGTTCAAAGCAGATTAGAGCTGAAGAATTAACTTTGTTTAGTGTAGTATTTACCCAGCGTTTGTTGCACGATTCCAAATAAATCCAGTGCTATTGGCCTTTTCAACAGTTGGGGAAACAATAAATCCAAACAAAGCCTCTATGTGTAGAACTTTGTGGCACCGTGCTTCCCCTCATGACATTTCTTACCTTAGTCAAAATTATGATATAGATATTCACGGGTCTGACCAGTTCTTTGAAACCTGCTTATTAAGGTGGTATCACATTTATCTTTGGTTATGGGTTGGTTGATTACATACAGTGGCCCTGAAAGGTCAAATGCACTGCAAGTTTTAAAAAAGGGCAGTAAATAGAAAAAGACTGCAAAATCTCACAAAAAAACCCCAACTAAAACAAAACAAAACTCACAAACCACAAAGGAAGTGTTTTTGGAGAGACAATAACGCAGTAGCTACCAGCAAATGGCTAATAACATCTGTCACTTCTGCATCTGTTCTATCATGTTAATGTCTCCCTAAAAAAAACTTGTTTTGTGAATATCTTGGTCCACTTTCATTGTATCTCTGTATCATTGTATATAACTCTGGTTATATTTTTTCTATTTCCATGTGTTTTATTCAAATTCATTGTCTTTTGCAGTATTTTTTTTCTTTATCACAAGCTCATGTATTAAAAGCCTGATAATTATAGCACAACATTACATGACTTACTGTTATATATACAACTAAATCAGTACAATTTAAAATTAGCATACCTGACTTAAGTGTATTCAAAAAAGGGATTGTAAATAAAAAATCATTAAAGTCTTTAGCCTTCATTAATGCATAACCAACACAAAACACAGTCCAGCTGTGTTGCCCAATCTTGACTGTACTGTAAAAAAATCTGCTGGATGCTTAGTCACACATAGAATTTCCAACAAAGCTGCTCAGACTTTGACAAAATGTGGGCGAATGATGCGTCCTACTGCATTAGGGTATTTTCAAAAATAATACTGAGCATCTGTAGCCCAAGGCTCTCTCCTAACAGATCAAAATGTGGTGACATATTTGTGACACATTAGCTCAGATGGGCATTCCATCATTTGTGTTTACTGTTTACCGTCAGCTTGTTTCGCCCCGAAAGGATGGGGAATTATCCTCACTACATTCTGGTGATCATATTTCATTAATTGTGACAGCCCTCCATTTACGTCGCACGCACACTCGCAAGAACGCTCACATGCACATTCACACACACGGACTTCTAACCTGTTCCTTGACTGAGGCGAGGATGGCGGAGGTGGTTTCAGACTCGGAGCCGTCTCCGTTGGAGGCATTGAGGACGGGGCTCAACATGGTAGCAGCGCTGGCAGTGTCAGACGCCACCTCAGGCACTGGCATACCTTCTGGAAAACAATGGAAAATGCAAGTCTTTTACTATTAGACACATCCCAACATTTAGAGTGGGACATAATTTTTACACTCGTCATGCACACATGAGTGGAGGTTGGATGTGGAGCTGTGTAACAAATCCATTTGGAAAAAAATCTATTTGGTCACTGACAAAACCTGCTAAAAGACTACTGCTCCGCTCTTTATTTGCATTTTCTTTCTGACTTTTTCAGATTCAGGTCATAGGTAGCTAGAGCTTATTGTAGCATGCATTTAAAAAAGGGCAGTGACGCATCAAGGACAGGTGCACGGGAGCAAAACAAATGTAGGCCAGCGAGAAGAGGGAGCATACTCTACAGAGATAATGGAGAATCAAATTTTGTAGACACACATTTTAAAAAATTGTGTGTTTACAACGCATTGTGTTCAGCGTCCTGCTTGGTTGTAGACAATTTTCAATCAATCTCGTGCTGTGTCTCCTGTACAGCACAGAATGCGTTCAGCTTGTCAAATTTACATAAATCTTCGCCAGCAGAAGACAGCAAACACAACAGTGTCAATGTCAAAGGATTATAAGGCGCATTAAGCAAAACAAAACAGTCAGGTAAGTCAAACTTTATTCAACTCAATCTTCTTGCTTCCTCTACTTCTGCACCATTGATTCTCTCGCAGCCGTTCTATTTCCATGTTCTGTACCTGAAAACAGGTTTTGATCTTTGGTTTCATTCTATAATACTGGACTTATTTTTCTAAGAAGGTTTGAACTTTGAGAGTGTTTAAACAAGAGAGAAAAGTGTGAAAATGTTCATGCCTGTCTGAGAAAAGTGTATAAAGTGTGGAGTGATGGGTTTTACAGCCTTAAAACATCTATAATAATAAAAAATAAAGTTAGCTACTTCGCAGATTTCACCTATCGTGGGTTATTTTTAGAACGTAACACCCGCAATAAACGAGGGACCACTGTACTCAAATTTACTTACGGTATAATTATTTCTTTGTTTCCTTTAAAAACCTGATTTGTTACCTTTTTATTCTAGCATACCTACCATTTATATTGTATATATTTACACTGTAATTTCAAATAAAATGCATAAAACTTCCACTTATTTATAGGGGAGTTTTATCCTTAGTCACAGGTCGTGCTATAATGTGTTGCTAAGAGTGCTACAATATTTTGTTCCTCACAAAATAAAAAGAAGATATAGATTTAGTAACAATGAAGCAGATCGAACATAACATGTCTACTGTAGAGCTAATCTGCACAGGTAACGCCTCATAATATGCATCCATCCATGTTCTGCCTCTTATCTGGGTCGCAGGTTCAACAGTCTAAGCAGAGGTGAGAACACCTTTCTCTTCCTAACCAGCTCCTCCAGCTTTTCTTGGGGTTACACTGAGGTTTTCCCATGTCTTCGGTCTTCCCCAGGGCCAGAACACCTCACCTAAGAGGTGTCAGATGCCTGAGTCACCTCACCTACTGCTTTTGATGTGGATGTGCACCATTCTGAGCCTCTGCTGTATGAACAAGAGAGCCCAGCTACCTTTCAGAGCAAGCTCATTTCCAGTGCATGTAGCCACATATTGTTTCCGATGCTACACACAGCTCAGGGTCCTTGCTGAGAGCAGGAATGTAGACTTATCAGTAAATTAGCAGCTTCACTTTCATCCTTTATTTTAACCATTTGTAGTTATTTTACTGTTAAGAAAAAAGCTGTAAAGTTGCGTCTGGTTTTTAAAAAAGTTTGTAACTGCCTCTTAGATAAGGTCTGAACACATATTTGGGCGGCTATTTTGGTATCACAAGTCTAACTTCCAGAGTTCCAGCATCAGAGGGACTGGCACACACACACACACACACACACACACACACACACACACACACACACACACAAATTCCATGCTTGATGCCATGTGTCATCCTGTATTTGACCAAGCGTAGGAGGACACGGGCTTCACATGTGCCATGTAATCCTGATGCAGCACAGAGCTGGTGTAACGGCTGCATCAGCCAGATTTATACACTGGGGAAAGGATCGGAATGAGGAATGCGCACACATACAGACACACACACAGACACAGACACACACACACACACGTGCACGTGCACACACGTAAAACTGTGCTGCTGGCATGAGGCAGCACAAGCCTAATGCCGAGGTAAGAAAAGTGGAGCCTGTGAGCGGAGAGGAGGGGGGATGAAGGGAAAAATGAATGAGAGTGAGGATGACAGCCCAGAGAAGACAGCAGAGAGATGGAGGCGAGGTGAGGAGAAAAGAGGAGGAGGTTGATGGGATATGAAGAAAAGACATGACAAGAGGAGAAAACTATTCTTGCATGCTGCTAGGCAACAATCTCTGGTCACTGAAGGCTGCTAATATGGCTGACCTGGCTTTACGTGTCTTCCATTTTGGAGTGTTTCTTTTGCTCTCCGTTTCCCAAATCACTGTTTGTAAACCGAAACCTTTCACTTCCACCCACTTTGCTGCTTACGCGTAATCTCTCTCGCTCCTTCTTTCCTCCTCGTGCCTCCCCACTATTGTGTTCTCCTCCCTCACTTCTCTTCACTTGACCTGTTTCAGTGCGTGCTCATCTTTTTCAGCACATTTCTGCTTTATTAGGCAGCACCCAGAGGAGGGTGACAGAAGGAGGATGACCCACAAGGTTGTGGGTTGAATTTGAACCTGCAATGCTACAATGCACCTGAGCTCTCTCAGCCTCACCTTCTCCGAGGATGCACTGTACCTCATAAACATGCTGCTTATCTGGCTCTGTGACACCGTTACATGCTTCACATTCTTCCTGTCAGCTCAATTTTCTGAAATCTGTACTCTCTGCGTCTGCCAGCACAACTGTAAAGCATGAGCTGTACTGTCCATTTAAAAGGAAACTCAACCCTGCCTATTCTGCTTCTCTTACCACTCTTTGCTCTTTCAGTAGTCATCATCACAGAGTGTCATCCCTCCACTTTTCATGATTTGTCTCATCCCCTCTGGAAATCTCGCTCCTGTGTTCTATGTTTTTGTTTCTGTAAGCAGAGTTGGGTCCTGGTTCATGGTAGCTGTCGCTGAGGCCTTCTCAGTCAGATGAATGTTTGCTTCCATCTTTAAGCTTTCAAGAAGAAACCTGTAACATTTGCTAGACAGCAGCCCCTGTGGCCACCATGTTACGCTGGCCCTGGGAGGCCAAACGGACTGCAACTTAAGAAAACACCAGCAATAAGAAAAATGCTGCAAAAGCACCCAAAACACAACGGAAATAGGAAAAAAGAAAACAGAAATAGAAAAAACGAAAACTGAAATGTGAAAAAACAGATTTCCAAAGCACAAGGGAAGTGTTTCTGGGGAGACAATAACCCGACGGACCACTTGCAGGAACCAAAATATGCTAAGAATTGCGCTGGGAGACACTTAAAAGAAGTGGAGGATGTATCGGTTTTGCGAGGAAAGAAAAGATGAGAGGTAAGTGTGTTAGCCTAACTATTAGCCTAAAAATCCGTCATCAGTATTATATGAATCATGAGATTACAACACGCTTACCTAGCATATTTTGGTTCCTGCAAGTGGTCCGTCGGGTTATTGTCTCCCCAGAAACACTTCCCTTGTGCTTTGGAAATCTGTTCTTTCCTATTTCTCTTTTCATTTTTCCTATTTGTGTTTTGTTTTTTCCTATTTCCATTGTGTTTTGTGTGCTTTTGCAGCATTTTTCTTATTGCTGGTGTTTTCTTAAATTGATGTCCATTTGGCCTCTCAGGGCCACTGTACCATGTTGGTGAAAAATGAAGCCAATGAGGAAAGCTTGCAATGGCTGGTGCTGCTTAGAGAATAAAAGCAGGTGCATAGTGAGGACGTTATACTGCGAGATGGTGCAAAGTTTTTATGTATACAACAGTATACAACAAACAAAGAAAATAAAACATAAAAATGATTTTAAGTTAAATAAGACCAAGATTGTATAAGAGAGTAGTGCAAATTGCTTTAATAAATAATATGTGTACTATAAAAAAAGCAACTGCAAGAAAGCACAATACCGAAATATTTGTGTGAAATCTGGTGCCTGACAAGTGTTGTTCACCTGTCACAGAAGGAAGAGTTACTGTACACTTGAGATGGGTTGAGTATGATGGAGAGCACTTTGTTTAGTGACAAACCAATGAGTGACATCTGTTTCTTACAGTCTATGGTGGATATATTTTTTTGCCACACCGAGTACCACATTGTGCCTAAACACAGATTATTAACACAGCGAATTTCCTTGTGGGGACAATAAAGCCTGACCCTTGAGTTTAGAAAACTGTTTTGTAAAAATCTCCGCACTGAATAAAATGATATACAATTCTTAAAATATGACGGAGATGAAACTAGGCCAGCGAATAAAAAAGAAAAAAGGCAGAAAAGAAATTAGAACTCCTTTTGGAAGTATCGGAACACAAGAATAAGATCCTGCAGTTTCAGTGACTTGGTAGTTCAACAGAGAAGACAGATAATTCAAGTCACTTCAGTAGTTGTCTTTGATCCACCATCCACTGTATGCCACGCTGAGTCACGCATGCAGTGCATACTTGGGAAATAGGCCTTTTTTCACACCAGCAGCATGACTGGTACAAATGAACATTTTAACAGTGAGGCAATGTTCGCTTAACAGAGCCTTTTTAACTACTGGAAATTTCTAGATCTGAGCAATGACCTGCAGCTGTTCTTCATACCGCATTATGACTTTACCGCATATGCCTGTTTATGAGTTGTATCCCATTACTACCGCTGTTAAGCCCATTCATCCATTAGCCTACCTAATCTATTTGCTTAGTCTTGATTGCACAGCCATGATGTACTCATCATGTTTGCACATCTCTTACATCATCACCCCACATCTCTGCTTTTTATCGTTGTCTTGCTTAGTGCACATTTCTGTTTTCTCCATAGGGAATACTTCTGAAATGATTTATGCAGGGCATACAAAATGAGTTGAAGTCTGGTTGGGTATTTTTTCTATTAAAAACTAAGAGTGTTTGAAAATA